ACTTCTCTTGCAAAGATTTTAGCACCTCCTATCTTTTGGAAAATTCAAGCCTTCTTCAATGGCTTTCAGGCAATAGGGGAAATGCGAGTAATGATTTGCTACGCTCATCATCCGAGAGCGGGACATATTTTTGTAGGCGATGGCTTTCCCCTTCCAGGTTGTGGAGAGAAGGACAACGGAAGCAGTATTACGGATTGGCACAGAAGAATTTGCTTTATTGGACTAAAGAGACAACATAAGAAGATGTAGAATGTGTTGGCCATAAAGTTGATGTGCGCAACGTTTGCGGAAAACAATGAGCTCGGGACAGGTTCCGATGGGGCTTTATGGAGATGGGTTGTGGATGTATTTTGCACCACCGGAACTTCAACATTCGTTGCGTCGATTTACCTTGGGGTATGCTGTGTGAAGCGTACACTTGCATTGAAAAACCGGGGACTAATTTTTAGGGCCTTTCTCCATTCAAGTTCTTTCAAGGCTTCCGAAGAACGACGAGGTGTTCGAATTTCTCAAACAACGGAGTGCTGAGGTCTGTGGATAAAAATGTTATTTTCTACAAAAAGAGTTTGAGAGAGGGAATTCTCGTGCGGCTGCTAGTCGCCTTGAGCCGGCATTTGTTTTAGTCCAGAATGACCACATTTTTATGTGGAGACGGTGGCCTGGTTCTACAGTCTGTCGCGCGGTGGCGAACAGGTTAAGGCATCAATAGAAGCATGTTCACAGTCTGCAAACTCCAATTACTTCACTTTAATGGTTTGGCGTCTTTAGCCCAAAAGTAGCAGTTACTGTGGGGCTCTGAACTGTTTGGGTGACCTACGGAGTAGAAAATACTGGCCAACTCAAAAAGGACCTCGCTGACAAAATTAGTTTTGTACCGCCGAATGACTTTAATTATTTTTATCCTGAAGTTTGCAGTTTTGCTATAGAATTTTTGTTGATTATCTTCCTTGAGGAGCTGACAACTAATTTTTGATTCGCTGCGTAACGTTCGAATTGCTACCAAGACTCCACCTCCATAAATATTATTCAGTGCTTTTTTTATGTCCTGGCGCTTTCTATATTTCTCCCGCATTGAAGGCTAAATATCGGGCAAAATGATTGACTGCTCGTAGTGCAAACGTCCATCCTCTGACTATCTACTGACTCCCGGAACCAACTGCAGGGAGCTTGCTATTCTTCACTAGACCTAATGGAGATATTTTCTGCCACTATGCATGGCTTGAATGCGTCAACTTGATGTCAGGCAGTTTACGGAAAAGTCGACCCACCAGCACAGGAGATGCGCAATCCGTTGCAGCAATCACGCCTTTGGTCCATTTATTAAAATACTATGAACAGAACCCGTATGCTAGATGCATTACGTTTTTCGAAACTCCAACGTGTTATCATAGTTTATTGATTGTTCCGGTAAAGGTGGTTATTGGGAATAGCACTTCTCAAGTTACGAGGACACAGACCTCCTCGTCAGTTTGCCCGAACAGAGGATACCAAAAATACATTACACAAAGAATTGATTATTCTGAATGCTTCGCGTCAACAGGTGCATTGCAGGCTGCAGAATAACCCACAAACATATGCATGCAGAACCAGGACTGAGAGTTCTCCACGTCAAAAGAATAGCATTTTCCAGCAGCACGAGAGACTGTACATTATCAGGGACCGATTTTCATTTGGGAACAATAATCGGGAACTTCCCCACTTTAATGCAACCCCTGGCAGTAAAACGAATTGGACCTGAAGGTTTCGAAGTATGAATTTGTATACTGGAGAACATAATATTTTCCGAAACATCGCTTTCCTTTGCCTTTTATGGATTTGAAAAGAAGCTACGTGCATGCGGCAGTGATAAAAGAACCCACCAAGCATAGACACTCGTGCATGCACTCGGACACATTAGTATCCGATAAAGAGATTAGATTTAGAAGATAGCTGTAGACATTAATTTTTTGCAGCCGATTGGGACTTAAATGATGGCGAGCGTTCACGCATCAGCAAAACTCGAACTGGCAGTGAAACAGTACGTCGTGTGCGATTATGTGTGGTGACATGGCCAGTCGAACAAGCAAGAGAGAAAGGCAATTCCATATCGAAAAATGCCCACAAAGGGAAAGTAATAGGCAATTAAGACAAAACATTAGCTGACGACCGAAAGATGCTGGCGTCCAGCTCCGTTCAAGCATATTTCCATGGATTAACGGGTGGCTACACAGAACTGAAATCTATACTGGAGCTTCCCGGCTCGTTTATCCGCCGTTAAGCAGTTTCCGTTCACCACCTGCATGAGCAAATAATGTGGTACTCCCCCCTTAGGTACTCGGCAAGGGGCAGTAAGCTTGCCAGCGCGGGGGCTCGCATAAAATTTGCCCTAAAGTGCTTTGAACTATGTTTTACACTCGAGGTTTTGTATGAGCGGACTTGAGCGGCAAATATAACCCCCCTTAGGTACTCGGCAAGGGGCAGTAAGCTTGCCAAGGCGGGGGCCCTAAAGTGCTTTGAACTATGTTTTATACTCGAGGTTTTGTATGAACGGACTTGAGCGGCAAATATAGATCAAGCTGAGCAGGAGCAAATGGGTCCCACACAGCGTGATTTGAATCCGAATTGTAACACAAAAGCGCAGGTGTGACATCAGAGGGGGCGATTGGTGTTGACAGGGGCCGTGAATGATTGTGGACGAGCACTTTAACACTAGATCTGATACGTCGGAGGATGGGGATAGAAAAGGCGAGACACCAGAGAGATCAGACGATTTATTGTTTCTACCGCAGATTTCAGTGCAGGGCTTTGGAGGGTCCTCCACATCTCACTTGTTTCATTCCCATCTCGTTATTTTGTTTTTCGTTTGTCGGTTGGGCCCTTGGGTGACCGGTTTTCGCGGAATATTTGTTTCTGAGGGACGACGACTTTTCCATTTCGGCTGAACATCCCAATGGTGGCCGCGTGTAGCCCGCGCAATGTCAGCATTTGGACAGCTGGAATCATTATCGCTCTAGATTTCTGTGAATAGGCATCTGTTCGGTCAGTTGGGATTCCGAGCTCTGTCTAGCCGACAAGTTAACTCTGTGAGGCACTGCCGGCTCGCTTGTGCGTTTGATTGTACCGCCAAAAAGTATTCTTTTTGGTGGCACAGGGGAACGCACTTTGAATTCAGCATACACTTTTCCGTTTGGATGGGGTACGCTCAGCTTATTCGGCCGCCATCGCTTTCCTTCTGGCTTTGTACGGACTTGTAGCTCGTCGACGACCAGTGTGACCAATGTGAGGCCTTCAGTCGCAGCGTTGTTGGATTTGCGCCTTTGACCCCGGGGTCATGAGATGCGACTGCGTCCCCACTCAGACAACAGAGTTGTGATGTAATGGAAATGGAGAGCGATAGTTTCGCGTTCTCAGGAGAATCTCCCGCGACTGTATCTACTACACCTGCCTATGAAGTGAAAGCATCAGCACTTGCGTCATCCCGGTCAAAGGCAAGTAGTTATGGGGATCTAGCATAGACCCATCGGCGCCAAGGTCAACACATGCATCTGAGCTGTCAGTGGACCTCGCTACCTCTTTACATATCTGGCGACATCCTGGCCACAGCTTGTGGCTGGGGCGTGCAGTCAACCTCTTTTTGCTTTTATCACCTACTGAGGAGGTAACTCAACATATGTTGGAACTTCGGCCCCCTTGGGGCTTGCCTAACCAGGAGTGTCGCTATCGTCGGTGACCGATAGATTTTTGACGGTTGAGTAGACGCTGCAATCTGGAATGTTGGGCAGTTAGATCGACATGCTCATAAAAGTGCATAAGTCCAAAACTACTATCGGGATTGTGGCAAGTTTGGGGCCGGCTGACCTGACACTAAGCGAATGCATGTTTCGCGCCTTCTCTGTGGGACCTCTGTGACCCAGTTGTCGTGCCAACAGAGGGTGACCCCGGTATATACGCTTGACGTTTGAGGGGGATTCAAGAGTGCTGGCAGGCTTTTCCACAGTCCTCTATAGGACGATTTGGGAGGAAAGTGTGACTAGACACCCAAAAGTTCGCTTGAATCCATTTCCTCGCAAGCACTGCATGAAGAAATCGCACTGAGACTATAACAACACCACCAAGGAGGAATTTTGTAAGTTTTGTTGTCTCGCTTGCACTGGAAAATAACTTCCAGATGAGCCCACTGGACTACCACATGCACTTCATCACCAAAGAACTCGTGACAGTCTTGGTTGCTGCTTCAGAGGTTGATAGACTACTTCGCAGCCAACCGGATGAAGAGCGCCAGGTATTCGCTCAGGACGGAAAGTTCTCTTCCGACTTTCGCCCAGGCCGCCACATTCCTTTTGTTTGCACCCTTTAAAGCATTTGAAAGGGGTATTAGCTTCTACTCCAGTGTCCCTATTAAATGGAACATTGCACTGATTTTCCCAACTTAGAAGTAGGGATTTGTTATGACTGGTGTCTTGCTATTTGTGGAATCCACAGTACCCCAAGTGAGAGGTAGCTGGGGGAATGGGGATAAGCGGTCTATATGGTAACCACGCAAAATCCTTCAGTTGAAATGCCCATAGAATTGACAAGGGTGGTACTGTATTTCATATTTCACTTTCGATAGGCATACAGTTCGCATCCATCAGCGGTCTATCCATAGTTGTAGCGATTAAAAGCCTGTACTACCCTGGTGCTTGACGCTAGGTGGGTGTAAAGCAGAAATGGAATGCCGTTTGGCAGAGTTTATCACACAGAGATTATACCAGAATGAAAAATTTAACCAAATATCTCCTTTGAACCCTAAAATAGATAAACATCGCAACCATTCATTCACAAGTTTACGGCAGGAGGAGCCAGTGTTGAATATGCCAATTGAACATACCTAATGACGAACTGGGACTACACTGCAGGAGCGGAAGGCTTTTTTACGTGAACTGAACACCTACGTTACCTTAAATACTTGAGAAACTAGTGGACCTAATGCTTGTTTGAACTATTTACTGTTCATGAACTCATCAATAGCGAGCGGGTCTTTCATCGGCGCAGCGTCGTCCATTTGCTATCTAGTCCGGTGCGCTACATTTGCCTTCTGAACACGATGGATGAACCCCAGGTACCCATGACGGAGTTCGAACAGATAAAGTTCAGGATGAACCAAACGACGGATGAGGTATATGTTTCTTAGTGCTTGATACAGCCCTATTTTGTTTCGACAAATTTGACTCCCGACATATTTTCTGGAATCATACTTGTATGTGATTTTAGAGATGTTTTAAAATTTTGAGCCTCCAAATTCGATGCGTAATCTAATAAGTGTTCCTGGTGTAGGGGCCACGAATAATTCCATTGTGACCGTTCGTCAAAGGGAACGCCTGTCCTTCCTCGTAACAGTCACTTTTTACACTGAAATGCGAAAATTAATCCAGATACAGCACTGCAGTTTACTGCGATGGGGGAAATTCAGCTAAATCTAGCAATTTTTATGGTGATTATCGGTTATCAGCGGTGCGCTGACTTGGCGCGTGGTCAATCTGAGACACACGCATCTGAGATTGGATTAGTGTGTTTATCGAATATCTAGTGCCCGGAAGGCAGTTCACTTTTCTAATTTCCCCGAAGCATTTCAGAGATTTTCATTTTTACTAGCACCTCGTATATGGAGTTCGAGGTCACTTAACCTCTAATAGTTCGCTCCGTCACTTGTGGTGCCCGAACACCAGCAAGGTTTTCTGAATTACCGTGTAATGAGGCAAATTCCCAAGTGTACATTGGGGTCTATATCCGTTTCTCTTCTGAGCGTAAAGAGTTGGGTAATAAATCCACCAATTTTTTTTACCAAACTTCTGAAACAAAGTTCATCTACTTGTTTTTGCATCATTTGTACTCGAACATTAATTGTAGTGACTTTGAAATGGACGCAACCCTTCGTGTACTCGTTGCAAGGTTATCGGCTCACTGTGAACATCTCTTTTTCATATACAGTCGTTTCGTGTTGCCTTTGAGGCTCACTTCATTAGAATCTGTCGGCGTCCGGTCGTTCGATCCCAATAAACCACCTCGTCCAGGGGGAGCACGATCAGGAAAAGCTTGTGGTGCAGATCCTTGCAGACGTTATACTGGACTCGCGTTGTTCTCACAAATTAGAGAGTCCTGTGTGACCCAGTTCGTAAGGGGTTTGCGAGTTCAGTGTGATTTTTATGATATCCGAGTCCGCGGCACATTTCTTACTCGCTGCCGCCCACAGAACAACAAA